TTTTTTTTTTTTTTTTTTTTTTTTACATGTTATTGGAAAATGCTTAATTGCGTAATGCATTTTATTGTCGTCAAAGGATTCTTTGTAATTTGAACAACATATATATACTTGTATATTTTTTCATGCTTCTTGTGCCCCCTTCTCCTTTTATCATTTGCGTATATTTATATTTTTCCATTTCATGCCTTCGCCAGCTTTGCTCGGAATTAATGTTGCCTTAAATTAGTAGGTCAAAGACGCCTACGTGTGCAGTGTATGAGGTAGGCCCAGTTACATACCCTGTGCATACACCTCACACCCAGATATACATATATGTGTTTATGATTATGTGTACCCTTTTATGAATTTGCTTCCCTTTTGCGTACGCGCGCAAGGGTCCCCTGAATATCACTTCGCATGGAAAAACACCCACATATTACACCTCCATGTATGACATTTCGTACCCCTTTCTTCTGTGAAATTATATATAGAAAGAAATGAGCACCAAAAACGTTGCTTTAAACAAAAGAGTGTGCATCCAACATGTGTCCTTAGCATATCCATTTTAATGCCACTTTGCATGTGTATCAAATCACCAGTAGTTTTTCTACTCCATTTACCTGTTACGCCTTCGCACAATTGACCCTATTGAGGATTAAGTGCATGTCCTCTTGTACTTCCTGTATGTGCATATATACATATATACGTACCTCTACACAGTTGTGTGCAGTAAAGATTACTCGATTACCGTCCTGAGTACGACAAAGTAAACCGGTTCACACATTTCCGTTCGAATCGCTACCCTCCCGCCCACACACAAACCTAATTTGCAAATTTCGTTCGACAAAATGAGTGGAGAATTCAAAACCAACTTCGCGGCCGACTTCCTTATGGGAGGCGTCTCAGCGGCCATTTCCAAAACAGTAGTTGCACCAATAGAGAGAGTAAAAATGCTTATACAGACACAGGACTCCATACCAGAAATCAAATCAGGACAAGTGGAAAGATATTCAGGATTAATCAACTGCTTTAAAAGAGTGTCAAATGAACAAGGCGTCATGTCCTTTTGGAGAGGAAACACAGCTAATATTATTCGTTACTTCCCAACCCAAGCTTTCAATTTTGCCTTCAAAGATTATTTTAAAAATGTTTTCCCCAAATATGATCAGAACACAGATTTTACGAAATTTTTCTGTGTCAATATTTTATCCGGCGCGACAGCAGGTGCTATTTCGCTCTTAATTGTATACCCTCTAGATTTTGCAAGGACAAGGTTGGCATCCGATATCGGCAAAGGCAAGGATAGGCAATTCACAGGATTATTTGATTGCTTAACAAAAATATATAAACAAACTGGCTTATTGTCTCTTTACAGTGGTTTCGGTGTTTCCGTCACAGGTATCATTGTGTATCGAGGTTCGTATTTCGGATTATACGACAGTGCCAAAGCTCTCTTATTTAATAATGACAAAAATACGAATATCGTCTTAAAATGGGCAGTTGCACAATCAGTCACCATACTAGCGGGACTCATTTCCTACCCCTTTGATACCGTTCGAAGGAGAATGATGATGATGTCGGGAAGAAAGGCAAAGGAAGAAATTCAATACAAAAGTACCATCGATTGTTGGTTTAAAATCATAAAGAATGAAGGCTTTGCTGGATTCTTTAAGGGGGCTTGGGCTAATGTCATTAGAGGAGCTGGAGGAGCTCTTGTGCTCGTCTTTTACGACGAATTGCAGAAGTTGTTATAACGGGTACACTGCAGACACATTAGAATTGATGAGGACCAAGATTCTTCAAATTCGGTTGTTGCAATGTTGCCAAATTACCGGGTAGCCAAGCCACCAAGTCGCATCCTTTTTTTTTTTTTTTTTTTTACACATCAATACATATGCACAACATGACCGCAAATGCGCACAGAAAGACGAGGGTGCAACTGTCCATTTCCCCCCAACATATACAAAAACACGCATGTGACGAGTGATTATTTTTTAAGCATCTTATTTCTACACAGTTCCAAAGCTCACACATAATCATCCAGTTCGCCCGTCAACGTCACAGGCTTGTAAGAACAACACACGTCGATATTTTTATCCATTTTTTTTATTTTATTACTTTCCTATTATATATTATATATTTTTTTTTTTTTTTTTACGCTCTGCACCACCCCCCGTTGCCAAGTCGTATACATAACATATGCTTGTGTGCATATTTGCCACGCCGCGCACATATCATGTGTATGCGTAACTATACACATTTGTGCAACGTTTTCAGCCACCCCTTCATCACCTTTTTACGAAGCATTCGTCGTAATTCACCTGCCGTGAACCTTATCGTGGATGCGCGCTGCATTTCGTTCCATTTCTATTTCTTCGGGAACTCTTTTTTAAATATTTTATTAAACATGGAAAAAAAAAAAGTTCCACCAAAGGTTGCGCAAAATGGCGCAAAAGATAAGGGATTATAACTGGTAAAGGAGGTCCATACACATATATATTTGTGCGTTGATAATACGCCCTATGTATGCCCAAAATGGGGGAAAAAATGTTAATTAGAGTAAATTGGTTAAAATGAGTAACACCGCAAGTCTACTTTTGTAGAACACCTACAAATTCCCAGACATGGTGTATTTCTTATCAAGGATAAAATTATTTTTTTCCTTCAGGGTAACCTGTAAAAAAATTTAAGAGCACACAAAAAGGAGTAGTTTGCACGCGAAATTAATTTTTTTTCACATTTCTCCTTAGCATTAGTCTGCATCACAATTTGGTGAAATTCGATCTGCTAGTCGGGCATGAACAAACTGGCTTAGTAACATAAGCACATAAATATACTTCCGTGTATATATTTTCTTGTGCGCTCTTCTCCATCACCTTTACTAGTTCTCCATCCCTTACTGCATACTCATCGTTGCACCCAAATAGGAGGAAAAATAATTCATTAATTTCTGAAAGGAGTAGCTTTCCTCATCCCGCGAATTCATCACGTTGTCCAGTATGCTTTTGTCAAATTGGGTTAACTTATTTTTTGTGGAAGATACAAATTTGTCGTATAAAAACAGTCCCAAGACCACATGCTCAATGAGGCATTCCTTCTTCTTAAATAGCAGAGACGCACTAATGCATAGCAACTCACATATCCCTATGTGGTGTCTGCAAAAGGTGAAACATAAAGGGGTAGCCACATTTAATGGGTGTCGTCTTAACTCTATACACATTAATCTCACAAAAAAATATAATATGGGGTGAAATCGAATAAACGGGAGGAGAAAAAAAGGAGGAAGCTGCATTTGTTTCCCCTTACACAGTCAAAGTTGATAAATCAGCAGCCATGCTAAAGTACTTCTGGATGATGGACTTGGTTACACTGCACAACCCTTTGAATTCAAAATGGGTCAAATGGCTTTTCTTCAAATAGGAGTAATTCTTATTCAGTTCAAAATAAAAGTCGCAATTTTCCTTTCCATTTTCATCCGTGCTTTCTAAGATCTCGTCGATGATGTCGTCCTCACCATCAAAGCTCAGTTCGAATACGAAATCGAATCGTGCCAAGAGGTTCCGCTTAATATAGGTGTTGAATTCCTGCAAAGCGGGGTCATTCGGTTTGTTGCCATATAATCACAAGTGTGTGTACATGTCTACACAAATGTGTGCATACGCCTACGCAGTCCCATATAGCGCTATGTTCGATCGTATCCCACCTGCTCACTCCGTATATAAGACTTCACTGCGTAGACCCAAAATGTCGTGGACACCGGGAACAGCGCCTTCTTACACCTGTACACGCCGTTCTTCATTAATTCCACCAGTACATTAATTTGGAGGCTGTTCAAATTATTTATGTTGATTACGAGGATGTCATACTTTTGCGTAAACAATATATTGAAAGAATCTGCCTTAACGTGTAGAATCTTAATGTTACAGAAATAATTGCAAAATTTAACCAAGTTCACCATTATTACTTCATCTAGACAAATGAAGAAGCAGTGCGGGGCTCTGACTCCTGCGCGAGGGGGAAGTAGCCAACGGGTGCACATGGTATGCAGTGTGCATAAAGTATACATAACAACTTTACACGCAATATCTCTGCACATGGGGGATCCTCCCCAACAACGTGCCTTTCCGGAGCTCTCCCATCCACATGCTAGTCTCATTCGTAAACAAGTCTATATAGTTTACTCCGTAACTATCTGTTCATCTAACTACTCATTTGTCTGCTCGTTTAACTACTTCATGTCTCCCCACTTACCCGTTAGGGCATGCCGCGAGGCGTCCCCACCGACCCATTTGTTTGTGTGTAGCTTGTTGTACAAGTCGTGCGCTAACGTGTCTAACTTAGCGTACCTCAATATGTTGCTGCATATGCTAATTAAAATTAGGGTTAGCTTTGTCGTTCTGCAAATTTTGCTCAAGCAGGAAATATTGGGCGGCAGATTCAGGATGTCGCTTATGATTTTGCTCATATCTGCAGCTTATGCAAAGGGAAAGAGGAGGAATAGTACGTGAGCAATATCCAAAATGAGAACAGGCAACTGTACCCCGCACATCACTATTTCGCATAAGGGAGATGTAAAAGTTGTGCACCTTCTAAATTTTGGGTTTGCAGCAAACAGTTAAATCTTTCGGTAGACAACATCAGGTCTGTGTGTTCTGCCGCCGACAGCGAGCTGCATTCGAGCTTTTTTGTTTTCTTGGGAAAGGCATCCAAGTGGAATATGACCAATGTGTGAGAGGTAGAAGGATAAAAGCAGCTTCCAATTTGCAGAGCTGCCAATGGAGCCATCTCGCACATTTGAGCTATGGCAAAATAAAATATCGAAATGCCTTTTCTCTCCTTTTTCTCAAATTACGTCCTTCCTATAATTCAGGAGCCAAAGGTTCCCGACGCGCGCCCCCTTGATGCTGTTCTTATTTGGCTGTCATGTGGAACATAAAAAAAAAAAAGAAGAAGAAAATGAAAATGGTAAATTAGCACAAAGAACATGTACACTCAATGAGCGAATGGAAACACTCATCCGACATGCACACATAAAAGACAAATAAAATCACATAGCACAATCCAGGAGTTTGAAAATGCGCACTTAACCTGGTTAGGTATTGATACAACTATCAAATTGTATTTCATCCCAATTTCAAACGTCTCATTCTTTTCCGCTACATCTTGGTATAAAACTTCAAACGTTGTGCATTCGTCTTTGTAAAAAAAAAAAAAACAAAAGAAGAGAAAAAGGAAATGCTAAATGAGCATACGAGTGTGTGTTTGAGAAGTGCATAGTGTGGGAGGAATGAACATTCGAGATAGGTCCAAGAGGCAAATAGATGTGTCCCATCTGCTCATCATAATGTGCGCGGCATAACCCCTGCTGCTGTACTCATCCATCGCTTGGGTGAAAGAAAACTTCAAGATGTAAAAATTTTTGAACTGCCTCTTCTGGATCACTTCCTCGTACTGCTTCGTTGAGCACAACTCGCACACATCCTTATCTGCCTTGTTGCTGTGAAAAGATGGAATACCTCCATGAACGTGTCTCAACTGTGGTAGCACACGTCTGCCCTTGTTGGGATGGTGTATCCCTACATCTACGTGTTCCTCTGTTTCACCCCACCCTGTCTGTCTCTCCTTTTTTGCCCCCCTGGAGGCGTGCCTTCCCGAAGAGCCCTTACTCGTCCATTTTCCCAAGCTTATTCATTTTCACAATTATATTCTGGTGCGGCAAGTACTTCCTTGAGCAATCACATACTCTCATGTAAAGCTTTTTATACAAAAAGCTCTTCTTATCTGTGCTCATCAGTGTCGCATTAATCAGTTCAATCACGTGATAAAAATGGCTCCCTAGGTTGTTCACAGTGGCCAGATTAAGGATGCAATCGGTCTGCACATTTTGAAGGAGAGCAAAAATAATCACATATTTGTACATACACGAAACGTATCTATCTGTTGACGACAGAACATTCTGGATCCGCCCTACCCAAAATATTTTTTTACTTTTATGGGGGTGTTTAGAGGAATGAGCGTGATGAAAATAAAATTGCAGCTTATGATAATGTTCAGATATTCCACCATGTCATCTTCGGGTTTCTCCCTCTGTGAGTGTTTGTGTGTGTGTTTGGGGTGTATAACGGCTGGACACAACGCATGAGCATATTAATGAACAAGGCCCAGGGGGGCAGCCACTCAATGTGTACCACCCTGAGAGGACACATGCTAAAACACGCGAAGACAATGGAAAGTGCTCCCCACAGCCATACCTTTAAACGCTCCCCAAATTGGGACAACAGGGAGTATGAAACTTCGTTAAACGCGTTGGTAAACGCGACGAAGTTTTTCGTGATGTGACAGTCCGCATAGTTCGTGGAGTCTACTCTGCATTTAAGAAGCGGGGGGGAAAGGGCTATTGTGGAGGAGGGACAGGGAACGAGGAGAAATAACGATGAACGTGCGCCAGAGCACTATGCGTAAAGGAGCTATATCGATGCAGTAACATGGTTGTCTCTCCTGCTCCGCCCCTCCCCCTCTTTTTGCGCTTATTCATGCAGGCATCACAATTTTAGAATATCCACATGGATGAACACTTCGAAGATGTAATTCCTTGTCTGGAAATTCTCAAAAATTTTTTCTAAAATGATCTTAAAATAATTTTCTAAAATCAGATTTTTTAACGATTCCTCGTCTGCAAACAGGTTGAATATTCTTCTGCTCTTTTGCAAGGCAATTTCGGGTGCATCACAGTACCTCCGTTTGGTGTTTGTAAACTTTTTTTTATATTTATTAAAGAGCATTGTATTGTTCGGGGGTGATGTAGGGTGGGTAAACACACACGTTGAAAAAAAAAAAAAAAGGCATATCTCTCATTCACCAAATGGAGATAGGAACAACGTCATGAAGGAGGAACATCGTGCTAAGCATCGCGTACACATATCGAATGAACTGAAAGAACACATGGATTGCTAAAAATTCGAATGTACTATCCGTTTCCTTCCTGTCAATGCATGCACACTGTTGTAATGCTTCGTTGGGAAATTGTGTCCTCTGCAATTGCATACTTTAAGAACGTTGACGCACACGGAAACGGCGCGAACAAAAAAAAAAAAAAAAAAAAAATACACACCCATAGGGACACAAATGGGGGCACGTACGTACACCTTTCTCAGTTCGCATAATTAAGCGCCCCAAACCCCCAGGATAGACGCAAGTCGTCTCTCACCCGTGAACTGTTCCCGTTTTACGACAGGAGAAAAAGAACATGATAAAAAAAAAAAATAATAATAAAACAATATTCTACGGCAGCTTCTAATTTGGAAAGTGCACATCACATCGCCAATCGCTTTGTCAACCCCGTGCAGCTTGGACGAGTATTTCACAACGGCAAAAAATACCCATGCATACATGCGTATCCCGCCACACACATTCCCTGATGGTGCATGCGCATAACGTGCTGTAGACTAAAGTACTCGACTCATCCTCGAAGGTGTACGGCATAGAGGGGCAATAATTCCCCCATCAAAATTTACCAAATGAGAGTAGCCATTCCTTGACGAGGGCGTATATCCCCATCGGCAAACAACCAAAATTTGCCTCCACATTTATAATCACCACTTCAAGTTTGTAGCGTGCAGGGAAAAACAGCGCAATGTTGCACATTTCAACACGGGAAAAAAAAAAAAAAAATGCACAAACAGGCCCTATCTACATTTGACACTCCAAATTAAGCATTAAGCAATTGTCAATTTTTTCTACTCCAGAGGTACGCAGTTTTGGAGCTTTAGCGAGTTGGCCATCAGATGTGGCCACGTTGTACGTTCAGTTGAGGGCAAACTGGTAGAGCGCCTACAAGGCGAATTCAATTGTGCGTCGTTCCCTCCACGCCGGGAATAAAAAATGCTGTCGGCGTGGAAGCAGGAAAAAACAGTCATCATAAGCAAAGCGAATAGGAGCGAATCAAAACGAATCGAACCAGAGCAAGGGTAAAGGTAAAGGTAAAAGCAAAAGCAAGTGACGCTCTTCGCGAAACTGCCATACGGACCAGGGGGGACATTGCACACGTGCGACCGCATAGGTGAACAGTCTACCCCCCACGCTCCCTGCGAAAAAGCCACGTAAGTACAGTGTATCACACAGGAGTGACCCACCAACATCTACACACAACACACACTCCAAGGCAGAAGCAAAAAGAACATATCATGAAGCCAAAGCGATTTCTTCTCGTCGCCCACTTGGCCACACTACTCGTAAAAGGAATGGTGACATACGACGGGGCCAACACCCCGTTTAGCAAAGCGCACATTCAAAGGTGCTGCTCAGGAGGGCAACTCTTTCTTAGCAACCCACATATAACCAAACAGATTAGAAGAAAAAAAAGCATAAAAGTTCACACACAAACAGCTGACCTAGATATTGAGAACAAAGCAAACACGAGCAGGTTAAGCAAAAAGGACAAGATAGCATTCACAAAAACCAAACAAATAGCTACCATCGGGCCAGCAACGGAAAAATTTGAAGAACTCGAAAAGCTCTACCTCAGCGGAATTGATGTCTTCAGGTTAAATTTTTCACATGGTTTGAAAAGCATTAAAAAATACATTATAAATTCACTCCGAATTATAGAAAAAAAATATGATACTTCTATTGGCATTTTAGGAGATATTCAAGGGCCAAAAATACGAATAGGGGAATTTGAAAAAAGTGAAAAAAATGCCATGGAAAAAAATACATTCGTTGAATTGAAAGAAGGAGATGTTTTTTCCTTCGACTTGGTAGACAAACCTGGAAATGAAAAGAGGGTGCAACTGAACTATCCAGAGTTGTTAAAAAATATAAAGTGTGGACAAATCATATTACTAGATGATGGAAACTTAAAAATGAAGGTGACAGAAGTTCAGTTCGACGAATCATCATTGCAAAATAGCTCCCTAAAAGTAGAAGTAATTACAGGGGGAAAACTATACAGCAAAAAAGGCTTCTGTGTTCCTAATATGATTATGCCTATTGAAGTTTTAAATGAAAAAGATATTAAGGACATCTTGTTTTGTATTAATGAAGGGGTAGACTTTTTAGGTTATTCCTTTGTTCAAACAAAGTATGATTTAATTTTTTTAAAAAGCATTATCAAGGATTATTACGATAGCGATTTTTTTCAAAACAAGGTAAAAAAGGATAGACTTATTTACGACGAAAATATGCTTCAAATGAAGGAATACGATGATCCCAACGACTTTTACATAAAAGAGGTAAATGATTACTACCAACATTATTACTTGAAGAATTATCAAAAGTATAAACAGATTTACGATGTGTACAAAAATCAAGACTTGCAGGTAGATAATGAAAAAACGGAAAATGACCTTGAAAACTCTGGCGCAGGTCAAAATACAGCCTACGATGGTGATACGCAAATTACGCATATTAAAGCTGAAACTGATCGTTCCATACCAAGTGACCATGCTAATAGAATATTTATTGTGTCAAAAATTGAAAAACCCTCTGCTGTGAAAAATATAGAAAGCATTATTAACCTTTCCGACGCCATCATGATTGCCAGAGGAGACCTCGGAATTGAAACCAACTTGTCCAATTTACCAATTTTACAAAAAAAATTAATCAATTTGTGCAGAATCAAATATAACAAACCCGTCATTGTAGCAACACAGATGATGGAAAGTATGAGATTCCTGCCCTCACCCACCAGAGCAGAAGTGGCGGATGTTGCAACTGCTCTCTACGATGGATCCGACTGCGTTATGCTCTCAGCGGAAACAGCCACAGGACAATACCCCATCCTCACGGCCTCCACACAAAACAGCATAATTAAGGACGTAGAAAATGATTACTACTATTACGACTACACACAAAGGAAAAATAATAATCTCGTCAAGTGTGCACATACCATGAGTCCACCGCCTACCAACGAAAATTCCCACTTTGAGAAACTTATTTACAGCATAAGGGACATAAGCAATAACATAAATTTGAAGTCCATCATTTTATTTTCGAATGAATTTCATAAAATCCAAAAGCTTAGCAATTTGAGAACAAAGGCACCCATCATTGTCATCACAGAAAATGTTGCCTTAGCTAGAAAGCTGCAACTCACTTGGGGAGTCTACCCGTACATCACAAAATTAACCGACTGTCACAACCAGGACTTGTTAACCCTCATTAATTATGGGTGTAAGGTTTCCAAGGAGGAGGGATTCGTCACACAGCCAGAAGAATATTCCCTCGTCACTTTTACAAAAAATATTAATAACTCATCTAATTTGCTTTACCTGTGCCAACCGTGTTTGACCACATAAATCGCGCACAAGTGCACACATACACACACACACACATACATAGATGATTACCCGTGTCAGGAAATTGCCCCCCATGCCAACGCCCTTACACCTGTCATTTGTGTCTCCCTCGAAAAGGCAACAAGGGGCATACAGCATATAAATTACAGCGAAGTGCATAAAAAAGTGCACATCAGAGCAGGGCACAGAACAGCATAGCATAACATAAGGTAACATGTCTACACGTGTACCTACACATGGAAGGCACGTACCAAATGGGGAAGTAAAAAATGCTACTCTCAATTACAATCTGCTCCAAATCAAGGAGGTGTGCACTGAGGGAGGCCACTTCGAAGGGCGCACGGAGACGAAACAAACAACGTAGAAAAAACGCATATGACGCTAGCAACAGCACCGCTCCAGATGAATCAACCCCCCTCAGGGGAAACTCTCCCCCATCAAACTCCTTATCGTATCCTCACACTTGGAAATGTGCTCTTGGGAAATGACTTTTTTAAAAAACACATCGCAGTGCACCGCGTACTGGCACGCCGACGCCTCCATTTCGGAGTTGGCACAATGGACACACATTTTGTTCAAGTGCTTTACTATATTCTGTGACCTGCTCAAGTCCGCATAATTTTGAATTATTTGTGTTCTTGTCTTGTCGTTTTCTGTGTTCCCCGTTTTTACATTACAGTTTGTCGTGTCGTGGTGGTAAGGTTCACGGTAGAGCAGCGCCTCACCATGGCTCCCTTTTTCTTCGACCCTTTTCCACCCCTCATATATGTCCCCTCCAGCTCTGGACAAATCATTCGCCTTTAACCTACTCTTCTCAAGTTTCCCAACATTCCTCGTGAATAGTTCAATCTTGCCTTTTCCCAAGCTATACTTCCTCCTCGTTGTGTAAAATATCTCCTCCAGATTTGGCGACCCGTAGGGAAGCAAATCCAACATTCTCTTCAAAGGGGGAATAACTAAGTTTTGAATATAATAATCGAAATTTATTTCCTTCAGTTTCTTTTGATTATTTGGGGCTATCTCTCTACGCATGAAGTCGTTTTCCTTCTGGGGGGATACGTTCCCTCGATGGATCCGTTCCCCCGTTTGCATATCCACTGTGGGAACCCCCCTAGCACAATTGTAAATACCCCTGATGAAGGAAGGATGTGCAACGGAGTCATAAATCTTATCCTCCTTCAACTTTTTCGTAATCACAAAAGGAATCTTCTCCTTATAAGTGATGACCAACTGGGGATTCATTTTTAAAAGCTTCTTCGCCACAACTGCTTGAGGCGGTAGAGGCACTTTCCTTTTGTCCCACTCCAATTCTCCTTTGTACGTCCCCAACTTCACTTTCTTGTATATAATAAAATTATCACACGCAATTTTATCATCATATATTCTGTTAAATAAATCACGTAGCACTCTCTTTATGTTTCTCGTCAGGTGAGTGTAAAACACTTTCATACCAAAGGCACTCCCCGTCTCACTTTCGCTAACTCCATTGGGAGAAAAGAACACAAGAGCTTGCTTAACATTACAGAAACATTTTCCCCTATCGCATTTCTTCTTTGCATTTATTTCTTCCACACAAAGACAAGTTTTTGTAATATTGTTTGGGTTCATAACACAGCAGTCATTTGTCTGGTTAATAATCTTTTCATAATCCTGCTCGATCATTTTTTGTATTTCCATTTTAAAAAGCGACACATCAAAATGGGTAAATATGTGCCACAGAAAGGCGAATTTTTTCCTATATAAGTAATTTATGAACTTAAGAATGGTGTTATCCCTCTCGCTGTTTATTAATCTTATGAGATGGTCGTATAACTTATTTTTGCTCTCCTCCGTTTTAGGTTCCCCCGCATTCGCTTCCACCTTCACACAAGCAGCCTTTTCCCCCCTCTCTACCCTTCCATAGACACGCAGAATCGCCTCCACCATCTCAGATAAGAAGCATGGGGACGTCCTATGCAAGTTTAACTCCTTACAAGAGCATACAAAATTGGGGAAAAAATTCCTACACATGGCACAACAGCAGCAACAGTAGGATAAGTGGCAAGAATTCCTGAAATAGTAAAATATAAAATATATCTGGAGAAGCACATTCTTCACTAAATCGCACTGATCTGATCTCATGCTTTCCACCCCTTTGAGGTCCAGAGTAGGTTTCTCATCATTCTCTTTTTTGTAAGCAAATCCAAAGTACCTCTTTTTGGTCATCAAAAGAGAAGGGCAATAAATTTTTTCAAAATTTAAATACATGGGAGAGGGCAAAATGCCATTCACGTTTTTCAAAATGTCCTGGGCTATCCTAAAAGTGTAGCTAAGATCGTTCATTTCGTTTAACAAAAATAAGGAATCTGTATCTCCATACAAAACTTTAACATACTCATAATGTTCCTTTATATATTCTATGATGTAAAGGAGCGAATTCTTTCCAGTACAAATGATACTCTCTGATATGTCCACACATGGCATCCTCCCTGAAAAGCTAGCTCCTATATAACCTGTGGCCACGTTTAATATCATTTTTAATTTACACATTCTTTCTTCTAACCTTTTTCCTGTTTGCTTATCATAAATTTGACTACACCTCTTCAGCATTATTCGTGTTTTTAACATTTCTTCCATGAAAAGAGTACATATTCCTTTCCTCTTATTCTTCTTCACGTACACAGTGTTGTTGCTTGTTATGAGTACATCATCCCTTCTTAAATTCTTCACTACGTTATTTACATTGGGTGGCTTTTTCCTCACTCCTAGTCTTATGAATTCAAAATTGGTCAGGTCTTCTCCTTGCACAGGAATTTTTTCGTCAACTGGGTGGCTTGACTCGGGGCAGTTGGAAGGGGGAATCACATCCCCCTTTTTTGACCATGCATTGGAAGTGCTCCATGATTCCTTCGGAAAAGGTTCATATTTGGGGGACATTTCTTCGAAGCATTCACCATCCCTGTCGAGTGATCCATCGTCTGCATTACCCCGCACGTGGCTAGACGCCCCATTCCACTTATTCGCAGGGTAAGTTAACTCCGCCATCCTCTGGACATCCAAAGCATCAAGCAAGTCGCCAGACGAGCTATCGCCACCTGAGTGCGACATCCCGCCCTCTTCGAGAACACCCTCTGCAGGGATGCTCTTCCTCAAGGAAGACTCTACCCGTTTCTTCCCCGCCTGCTGATGCTCTTGCGGGGGGTGCGCATTGGATCCTCCCTTGCAGGACAGCGTTCCCAAGCAGGTGGAGTAACAAATGTTAAACGCAATTAGAATGGAGGGGTAAAGGGATTGGAAATCGAAGACCATCAGGGGAAAAAAGTTTATGGAACTCTTCGGCTGCAGCACCAAAGGGATGTGCAAAACAGGTCTTTGCTCCATTATCTCCTTCTTTGAAGGAGAGTACAAAAGGAAGCCATTCTGCATGCACAGTTTTACGAGAAAAGATTCGCTAATAAATTGTGACCCTCTGTTTATTAAGGACAATAAGTCTACATGAATGTACCTACAAAAATTCATCCTGTTTTTCAAGTACCCAATTTTGTCATATATGAGTACGAGCAAGCTAATTTTCCTCAAAAGGTACCGCACGCTTAGGTGCCTGTATGGATAATAAGGGGATTCTCTCCCCATCACACAGTTGCTCACAACACTGCCCCCATAACCACTATCACCAGAACCTCTGCCATTATTTCGTGATTCCCTACCCATGTAGCTGTACCAGCAGTACAAAGTGTACTTACTTATAGAGGGTACATTCACATTCAAATAATGCTTACACAAATTTTCAAAAGATGTGTTTGAAACGCTTGACAATTTATACAAGCTCTCGATAAGTATACCTTTTATATTTTTATTATACTCATTACTCACCTCTCTGAATTCTTGCTGGTCTTTTAGCTTACTAATGAGTGTGTAAAAATTGCCCATGTCTAATGCCAGACACCTCTGATTTATGTAGCTGACATTGTACTTGTCGTTTTCATAAGAAACTATACTTAGTGGAGAGTAAAATTTAATTTTATCGATCAACTTTTTTATAAGATCTTTTTCATTTTGAGCAATGTGGATATTGACACTAGTGTAGTTTACGTCGAAATTAAATCCCCTTTTTTTTCCTTCCGTGTTGTCCCCCCCAGGTGGCTCCTCGAACAGGTCCCTATGAATATACGCACCATCGATGCACGTTTCAACCCATGGGACGTGTTCCCCTTTTGGTTTTGTTTCTTCGTCCTTGCTCAACAAGTAGGGGAAAATATTAGGGAATGGCTGGCTAGCTATTATGCCCATACAGTTACTATAATTTTCGTAGTAATTCATAAGTCTCTCATCTCTGACCAGATAAAATATTGCCTTTATTTCGTCCTCCATATAATTGGAACAATTGTGATTTTTGCTCTTTACTTCTGTGAGAATTTCAAGGAAAAATATATTTCCGTACTTGATGTTCATTTTTTTTTTTTTTTTCCCCTTTTGTTGTGTCTTCACGTTTGATGTGGTGAGCGGGTCGTTCTCCTGGACTGTTACCTTTTGGCAAGTTTTTCCTACACCCTTCGGGTTTGTCTGGTTAATTATTACTGCGCCCTCTTCATCTTCTCCCCTCCTTTCTGTGCCATTCGGATTGTTCAAAATAGCGTAGCACTCCCTTATCCTCGGTGCCTTCTTCGTATGAACATACCTAATGACGTCCTTCATTTTATTGTTAATTTCGAATGAAGCTATGTGTGTTTGCTTCCCCTCGTCAAGCTTCTTTTCCTGCGTCATTTTGGTTGCTTCCTTAATGGGGGAATTTCCCCCATATAAGTTCAAGTCGCGTTTTTCTGCTTCGTTTGGGTAGACACAAGCCCGTTTAGTCTGGCTGTCAATGCATTTCACCTGGTTGTTAACCTCTTTCTCCTCGCCGCTAACCCCGTTCACCTGGTTGCTAATCTGTTTGACCTCATCCTTAACCCCTTTCACGGGGACGTCCCCCTGCAGCGACTTCAAAAACTCTGCGAAGAGCTTCTTTGTCCTGTGGGTCAGTACATCAAACGAGGCAACGTTCAGATTCTTTTCAAAATGGTCAAAATTAAAAATGTCTTTTACCAAATTAGGGTTCACCCTTTGGCATCTTTTCTTCTCCTTCATCCACAGTTTCGCAAAGGAGTCCAAATAATTAATAGGTAAATCAAAGTTGAATTCTTCCCTCCATTTTTTCCGATATTTTTGAAACTCATAGGAATAAATCCGATGATTCAAAATATGTTCATGTCGTATGTCACACTCGATGTCGTACGAGGTTCCTCTTCCTAAACTCGAAAAATTAACATTTGTCGTCTTGTCTGTAAAAAATCTTGGGGCATTCACGTCTACGTATTTGTTCCCCTGTATACACTCTATGTCGCATTTATTTTTCACATTCCATTTTTCTTCTTTCTTAAAACATTCAAAATTTATTGCGCTAAAAAACTCTCTTCGAAAAAAAACATTTTTATCAACATAAATTTCTGAACAGCCATAAATATTTTTGCTGCACAAAAAGTGGAGCATGTAGCTGATGTGCACCTCGTACAGTTCCCAAGTTCGGTTTTTAAATAACTTCTTTTTGAGTAAACTGGCGAAATAGTTAATGGTGTGGGGGTATAGGAAGTATATTTTTAAAAACTCTTCTGGCTCTTCTTTGTAACCATAAATGCATTTTTTTTTTACCCTTTCGATGTTGTATATGCACACATTTTGCGTTTCGTCTTGTTTGTCCTTGCCATATTCTTCTTCTAAAAATTGGCATAGTTGGACCTCGAGATTTGGGTCTGACAGGGTGAAGGAGATTTCGTCACGCATGTATGTGTTCACAGGGACGCTTACATGTGTATAGTTTACTAAGCTAGACGGATATACACATGTGTAGAAATAGGGAAGAACGGAGCTTTAGTGGAGATGGTAGCTACCCTATTAGCTTTCCACGCTGAACGTGGTGAAATTTTTATTTTTTTCCTCTCAAAACTCATTACTTGATTTTTCTTCCGGGGGTATTAAAACGTAGAAGAATGGGAAAAACTGAAAGATGTGAATAAAACGTTCAACAAGTGGGTGCATTAGGGTTTTAGTCACACGTTTGCGCACGTGCATATACACCCGTACAGGTTTTCCTCTTTCTCGCGTAGGAACTTACAGCGTGCACGTACAAGCAGACGCTCTGCCCATAATAACTTAGACCTAATATTTGAATGACACACACGTAGGGAATCTTCCTATTATTTATTTTGCATACCTATAACGAAAACATGGAAACAAATATATGATAAGAGAAACTACGATGCATAAAAAATGAAACGTTCAAAAGCATTTGCGCAAGTATTTGCTCGTACATTCCCTCTGAATACGTACGCGCGCCTGTACATATACATATACACATAAGCATGCCTATACATCAGCATTTTTAAAATTATTTTTGTCTTGCCCTTAAACAGTACCAGTGGGTCAAACGGAAGGGACGGTTTTCTATAAATGTAGTAAAAGAACAAAAACTTGCACACAAAGAACGCTGTTGGTTTTTCCGTTATATTCATGTTTTACGCTGTGGTGTACAAGGATTTTAAGCAATGCAAAAGATGGTATACGACATGCGCTTTTTTGCTCGTAAATGTGTCACCTAGATGTTTGCTCACAAACACGATGGACTAGGTTCACGTTGATAATTATTCCCCTCAAAACAAAATTTTATATGTTTTAATAAGTGTGCTCGTTTTACGGTCAGAAGGAGAAAAAAAAAGAAATGGTTTTACCAAAGGTGTAAGATATGTCCACGCACGGTCTATTCACCAGAAAAAACGTGAACCTGCAGGAAGCTGCACCGGAGTAGCATGCATTTTTCTTTGTGCAAATCTGTAAACGGATAAATACATCTGACAATTTCGAATCGAACACCAAAAAGTGTAAATACATATTAATGTATGCTACATTTCGGGGGTTAGCATTTTCCTGCCGCTTTTCCTTTTTTTATTGCCCCCTTTTTATTTTATTAATTTTTTTTTTTTACTGCACATTATTTTTTCTGTAAACCCTTTTGCACTTCAAACGCCCGAAAACAGGAATGAACCCCTTATGATAAAAAAAAAAAGACGAACATTTTTGTTGCTTCTTTTTTATGTCAAAAGGATACTTAAAATGAGGAATGATAGTGTCCTTTCTTAACAACTGCTTAAAATATACAAGTGCGAAAGGGTACTTAAAGCTTCTTCATTTTGTTCATTTGTGCCCACCTTAAGACCCCTACACGTTCGTGTATGTAAAAATATGCGCACCATTTCATTCCTTTCCTTTTTGCCATGTACCACATAAAATGGGGAGATTGTGTGTTTCGTGACGATTCTGTTAATGCACCGTCCTAACTTAATGTGCACATGAAAAAAAAAACTTGGGACAGGGCACATTAAGTTAGGAAGGTGCATTATCGCTTGGCATAAAAAATAACACGCTTAATACCTGGTCAACTCTTTTATAGGAAAATTCAAACACTTGTGTGCTCGTGCAAGGTGCACACTGGGGTATAACACCTGTGCCTATGAAGTCGTACTGTGACGAGACAACCCCTTGAACGATCATTTTTTGCAAAGCCAAACAAAGAGAAGGCAAACGCTTGCAAATAAACTATGCAAGTGCCAGAAAAGCCTTGCGCAAGTGAATGTTTTCCTCACATTTTGTAATTTAGTACATTGGGTAAAAAAAGATCTCTTTCTGGGTACACATAATTTTCCCCTTTTACGGATACTCACTTGGACAATTTTCACCACGCAGATGTAAAGCATTTTTCACCTGACGTTAAATGACAATGTGCAACTTTGTCAGCTAGCCAAAAAATTACTTAAACTGTTTAAACTGTGTGTGTGTGTGTGTGTTTTTTTTTTTTTTTTTTTTTTTTTCTTATATGTTGTTCATGAAATGTGCCCCTTTTTTGGCTTTTCACGTGAACAGGCAATAATTGTTATCTCCCACTTTGGCAGCTACAAATTTACACACACCCAAATGTGCTTATTTTTAAAAAAGGAAATACGCACGTTTGTCCCTCTTTTACCAACCACAATGTATTTATTCGTACATAAAGCATGTGTACAACGTGTAGTAGCATGCCCACATTGGGGATAAACATTATTTCGTAAAACAGGTACATAACAACGTTGTAGGCCAGCCGAATATGAACCGCTTTTACGAAATAAGAATGGTACGTTCGTAAGTGTATGCAAATATGCATACATCCGTACAAATTTCTTGTTATTATCTTCTGTTTTTGTCCCATGGTGTATAATAAAAAAATGCTTGGAACAATAAAATGTAATGTTAAATTGTCATGTATGAAACGTGTCCCAGTGAATACTTTACCAAGGAAACCTTTTTTTCTTTAACATTGGGACACTAAAATTATTGGTAGACAGCACACAAAAAAGAAAAAAACTCAAAAATGCCCATGCGCAAAGAGAGATAAAAAAGAATCCCTAAAACCAAAACATAAATTGCGCATTATTTTGCATGGTTATTTAAGCAAGAAATAAAAAGGGTATAACCGAATGAAAAAAAGATGCAAAACATAAGAAAACAACTGAACTACGTAAAAGATTAAGCAAATAAAACTATTTAAGCTACGCAGAACACCTAAAACCGCGTAAAAGACTAAGCAAAAGAAAACTATTAAAACCAAGCAAAACGACTAAACGAAGTTACCACCCGTTAAAATTTACCACGTTCACAGCAAAACCTTTTTTTTAGGGGAAAAATGAAAAAATCCATACATATGCCACTACCGACCACTTGTATTTTTTTTTTTTACATTATATGCAATCCCTAGAGAAAAAGGGACAGCTATATGTCAATTTTATGTATTTTTTTGGCTTTGTATATAATTTTACGAATGAAAAATATTCCGTATGATTTTACATAAACCCCAAAAAGGGAAGAATAAAAGTGAGTCATGCTGTCCTTCAATAAATATGCAAGCACAAAGCCTTTTCAGAAATGCGTTACCCGTCCATGGTAAAACATAACATATATACTTGTGCGTAATATTTATATACTCTGGTTTTGTTGGCCTATTTGTACGCGCGCGCCGTTAAGTATTATATGTTGTACATATGTATGGCCAGCAGGCACAAAAATTACATACGCGGCTTGTATATAACAACAATATTATGCAGAAATATATATATATCAGTATATATATATATATATATAATACTGCATTATAGGATACGCATATAGCACAGGCAATACATATATATGCGGTACGTACATATATGTATAGGTTTTATGGCCCCCGAAAAAATTCGTCCATCCAAAAGCTTTCATATTCATTCATGCACAAAACAAGCCCTCGTTAATTTAAGTTCTGGCGTACAAAAAAGTACGGCAAATGTTAATTGAAAAAAATGAAGCATAAAATTGTACGAATGAGAAATAAAAGAAAAAAAAAATATATATACAATACAGCATACAGTATACGTATGAATATGTTTAAAAGAAAAAAAAATCAGCATGGATTTAACCAAAAAAAGAAAAGAGCTTTTATCAAATTGTACATTATGAATATATACTTCTTTAATCCACTTATATGAATATATATATACAGACGTATATATATATATGCTATTTTTTATAATTATTTTCATTTTACAGCGCTACATAACACGACATAACTTTTTTTGAAACTGTAAATTTTTGTTTATGTATAATATACGCAAAAGCATGGCATATATGGATGCATAAGTTATGCGTATATGTATATATATGTATATGTACGTATACTCATATTCTTACGTATATGCATGTTTGCGGCAAGCATTCTCTCATATAACCTTGCGCGTTATATATTAACATTTTTTTTACCAAAGGGAAAAAAGCAATATCTTTACATTTCTGTTTACAAGAATTGCGGTGTAGTGTCATATACAATTGAGCTTCTTGATTTGCTGACGTAAACCTGGACCATGATTCGAATGTATTTAAATGTATAACATAAATGCGTATATATATAAGCGTGTACACATTATATATATATATATACTTTTTACGCAAGTATTTATGTGATGTTACGCCACGTACGTTCACGTATATTGAGTACATGTATACATAATACGCAAGCTTTTTCTCGCTGTTTACTCCAATTAAGTTGTATCTTTTTGAAGATGTTCACAAAAGAGTCAATTTATGTACACAAATATTATACCATACGTGTATAACAGCCTTCTGTTTTTTTTTTTTTTTAGCCCTTGTTTATATATTATAACAAATTGGATTATATTTTAATTCAATTTTATATAGTATACAATAAATCGGTAGTTTCACTGCTTCGTGTGCTACATGTTCATTTATTTAAACATATATGCGCAAGCAAGCCAAAAACATATATCATGATATATGTAAATATATGCACAATTTTGTACATATAATTATATATGAATATATACGTATATAAATATATGTTATATGTTGTGAATGTGCCTCCCCCCCCTTTTTTTCCTGTAAAGTTTTACTTTTAAAATTGAAAGTTAAAACCACTGCAAAATCTACTGCTTTGGTATACTCACCATCTGTGAAAGAATTTAAACCTTCTAACCTTTGTGCTATGTACATTGTTCTATGTTCCCATTTCCTCAAGTGGAACAGCTAAGAGGGAAGAAGAATTATAGTCATTACGTACGCACGTTACACCTGCGCATGTATATGTTCTTACGCAATATACAATACATGTGCAAATGTATACATGTAGTAACAATTAACAGTTCACGTAAATGACGTGTTAATGTGAATTCACAAAAAAATTCAGTTGGAACAAAACGTGAGCACATGTACATACATATGCGAGTGTTTAGATTTAACGACAAGTGAGAGAGCCCAACACGGCTTATAATTAGTGACATTTATTTCACCCCTATATATCCCATCACGCTTAAGCAGTTTTTTTTTTTTTTTTTTTTTTTTTTTTTTTTTACATTTAAGTTTCCTGTTTCACCTTCGTGGTATCCCATACTCCCCAGCGTCGCTTCATGTTGTAATCCTAATTCATCTAAGTATATATATATATAGCTCTATTTTGAATAATTGTAAAACAAAATAGAGGCCTATGCAGAAGTATTCACAGAACGTATGGAAGTACGGAGAAGCTACAAAGCATATCTTGCATGTAAATGTTTTGTACCCCTCGCTCTGTATACACACACATATATATATACATCGATACGAGTGAATCATTTTTGCAAAGAAAATTGCCTTCACGTAATGTAACATATATGTTACCGCCTCCCCCAGTGGAATGAATAAGTGAATATATAAGTATATGCACACACAGAAGTGATTATATACTTATATAAAGGACGTATATTCCCAATCTCGTGTTAAGAGTTGTACCTTACACTCGCTATTACATTTATATAACACACATACAAAATAGGAAAGGGAAGAAAAGAAATAAAACAGAACAAAATAAAAAAAAAAAATAAAAAACAGAATATGCAATATATTAACCAATTAGAATAATGGAAAAATCATCTACCAACGAAACAATGGTTCTAACTATAAAAAATTTAAGCAAAAGTAAATGGAGTTCACTCTCCAAAAAAAAGATAGAAGAAAAATCTTGTTACTCCCCCAGGACAGAAAAATTAATTGATATAATTTCCCCCATTCTAGACTATTATGGGTATAATAAGGAGGATGTGTACAACTTTATTAGTTTGTACAAATTTGACATAGAGACAATTCAGCAGGAACTATGTAACATTATGGAGTCCAGGGAAGAAAATGACGAAGGGCTTTGGGAAACAGTCAAAAGTAAAAAAAATAAGAAACCAACCGAAAAGAATAGCAAAAAACATAATTCCTTGCAGGGAATTTCCGGGAGAAAAGATAATAAACAACTTGGCAAAATATTTTCCAAAGGATTAAGATTAAAGGAAAAGGATCCTCGGAAAAATAAAACCACTATCACAGGTTCCTCCTTTGCAGTTGGCCAATATAGTAATAAGCCCTTCACTTCGAGTAACCATAAAGTAACGCACTTTGTAAGCAACCGTGCAAAATATGAGAACTCGTCAACACTACATGATATTAATAAAAAGATTCCTGAGGAGCGAGGCTCGAAGGAAAAGCAAGATATGGACAAAAGTACAAGGAAACTTGTGAATATAAAATCGTTATCAGCAGTAGCAGCGTCGGCAGCGATATCCGCGACAGCAGCCACTGCTGCGACCGATGCGGCAGGCAGAGGAGCAGGTGAAGGAGCAAATCGCGATGCCGAGAAAAACTCCAAGGCCGGTAGCAAAAAGAAAGGAACGTTAAAATCAGAAGAAGAAAGGAAAAAAGGCTTAAATGAAAGTTACGATGATGATTTCATGAATAATAATTCAATAGAAGAAAGAGACACAAATAGGAGAAAAAAAAATGCAATTAAAGAACTAGACGGTTTGTTGAATGAAGAATATTTTGCAAAAGGTAGAGATGATAACTCGAACAAAAAGGGTAACAAAAGCGGTTACAATAACGTTGGCAGTACCAGCTCCAGTAACCACAATATTAATAGTCATTACAGTCAGTTTGATAAAAAAAAATACGCCAAGTTGGAAGATGGCAGAGCACCACCCACAGCAGCATCCATGGCAACGGGCGCAGGATACAAATCCAGTGATGAGTACAGTATTAAAAAGGATTCTAAAGGGAAAGGAGCAAACATCCCCTCTACACACACAGGCACAACCACTATGAACAGTGGAAGTGGTAACCAACACCCCGCCAATGTAAGCACGAACGGTCTCGGAACAACCACGATGACCACCAGTGTCAGCAGGTATAGTAACTTCAACTACAATGATAAATATTTTAATAAGAACTACAATAAATATAGTGGCAAGCCGCTAAATGATTCACAAATCCAAAGAACCGACAAGCAGCGGTTTCCACCATTTAGTAATAAAGCCACAGGTGTGTACAACGGTGCAGGAAATAATAATTATTTTAACGCATATACAAAAGGGGGAATGAAACAAACACCCTATTTGAACAAAAACAGTTTGAAATCAAAGATAAACACTAGTAAGAATAACAGCATAGATCAGGATTACGAGTATGATCCTTACAGTGGAGAAAAACTATCCTACGATACGGGCAACAATAATGACCAGTCGAGTGGTATAAGTGTAAACAACGGAAACGACCAAAATGTTAAGAAAAAGGTAGCGACTGAAAATGCTAAAAAGACGGGCAATGATAAGGCAACGGCCAGCACTTCTTACGCATCTGTTGTTAACAGCAAAATGAAGCAATCCACATTAGCATCATCATCATTAGAAGAAGCGAAAAACGCGGAAGTGAAACGAACCGGAACGATCAGTGCGCAAAATGCATCAAATGATAGTTCTTTTGTAGAGGAAGAAAAAAAAGAAAAGAAAAAAAACAAATGTCAATTAATACCAATTAAAAATAATCAGCCAGAAAAATCGTGGTTATCAGTTATCACCAAAGGTACTCTTACCACCAGCAGTAACAATGCCACGAATTCTCAGGATGTTGGTGACAAGGTGGATCCTTCCGGCACGAAGAAAAGTGCCCGCACCAGTTCCAAAGAATTGAAGCCAGAATCGGCCTCGCAGCAGGTCAGCAAAAAGGCAGCCGATCAGAGTGGCAAACCTGAAAAGCAGAAGAAAAAAGGAAAGGGAAAAGATAAGGATAAAGAAAAGGAAATGGAAAGCATTTCTAATAATGTGTATGCATCTGGCAGCAGTGCAAAGGATACCAACCTAAGTAGCATCAATAACGCAGGCTACAAAAGTAACGACCATTTGAGCAAAGTTTGCTCCAAAGGTGAAGATGACCTTGATGGAGAAGAACCATACAATGCTAAAGGTGCCCAGTTAAGTTACGGCAAGGATGAAAAAAATGAATCCATGCCTAACATCAGAAGTAAAAACAAGTTGTCATTCGTTGAGGTAGACGCGAACAAAGCACAATCATTTGCAGATCAACATAACAAAATGGAAAAGGAAAAATACGCAAACGAAAGCAATAACGTAAGCAAGAAAGAAATCAGTAGTGCCAAAAAAATCAGCGAAACGAAACTAGACACTGATGATAAGAAAAAGAAAAAGAAGAAAAGAAATGATCAAGATGTACTCTCCTCCCCCATGAATGATAGTACCATTTCCACAAGAGTGAAAACATCATCAGGTTCCCAAACCCTCGACATGAAAAGAGGTAAGGGTAGCAAACTGAGCAGTAACAATAATAGCACCCTGAACTTAGCATATAGTGCGGACAAACTCATGTCAGATGATTTCACACAATCGGAGGGATACTACGGAAAGGAAAAAACAAGCATTCCTATATACATGCCCAATTTGGCACTTATGGGGAAGAATACTATGAACAAAAAAATTTTCTTCGGGAGTATAAATATCACTGGTGATCAAATCGAAAATATTGATGTCATGCCAGATAGCAAATTGGAGCACATGAGGAATAACTACGGCGGTAACAATGGTAGCGGAAATAGCGGTGTGTATGCCGATGCCAGCGGTCGTTTTGGCACCCATGGCGATGGCTTCCACCAGCAAGGAAGCACCAACTACAGCCACGGCGTTAGTAGCTACAACACGCGGGGAAGCAATTACAACAACGAAGGAAATAATAACAATAGTACAAACAAAATGGTGCACACTGAAAACAGAAAAAAAAATAACCTCAGGAAGAATTACGGTATTGATGCGGCTTCCATGGGCATGAATAACGATCACGTAGGTAGTGGAAATCACAACCGCTCCTCTGCCGTGCATCACAAGGAAAGCGACAACAGAGACTACGATCATAACAATAACGATTTTAGAGGATCAAAGGAAAGAGAATTTAAACACTTTGATTTTAAAAGCAGAAACCACAAAAGAGAAGATAACAACGACATGCTTAATGAAAACAAACACAAATCAATATTTTCATCTTCCAACAGTAAGCATGCCCCTCATGTGCACTCTAAATCGCAGAATTTATACATACCCAAAATGACAACAACAGCATCATCGTCCTCTTCTGCCGTAGCGGCAGCCACAGCAGGGGTGTCATCTTCATCGTCAAACAACCATCACCACCATATACATAACAATAGTGGTAATGTCAACGTTAGCAGTGGAAACCAGAATGCGAAACACTTGTTGAACAGTTCCTCATCCGTGTTCATGAACCAATCGCCTAGAACGAACGGCTCACAAGATAACTCCTCCTCTGCCCTAATGAGTGGAAAGAGCAGCAAGTACGTGCAGAACGCACTGAAGAGCAAGAACTACGACAACGACGGGGATGACTCTGGTTCAATACAGCTGAATCAAATTTCACAAAAGTTTCTGCACAGCGGCGTTGGAACTGCGGGCGCAAACAGCAACGGAAACACTGGCACCTATACCAGTGGAAATGGTGTAAACGGTGTTAACAACAACTTTGCTAGCTCTACCACAAGCGCAAATATCGGAGGCAGCAATACAGGCACCACCACCACCACCATGTCCAACAAGAATACCAACACAGATGTTAGCAACATCAGTTTAATGAATATGGGCATGAACAACCTGAGTAACAATAACATGTACACTTCGTACAACTCACCCCCAGGATTGGCCAACCAATTTAATTACTCATTCACCAACCTCTCCTACCCATACAATAATATGCACTACAATGGCTACTCCACACAAACCTTAGTCCCGCAGTATGGACTCATCAACAACCATTACACAAAAAATAACAGCATGCACAACAATAACTTTAATTACAACATCAACTATGATAATTTTGATGAGAACAATTTATATGCACACAATAATAACATGCACATGAATAACTACGTCAACTACATGAACGTCGGTGTAAAGAAGAATCAACTGAATAACTTGGACGATGATAATTTGAGTAATTCTGGCGACGTCTCCATATCTGGTTCACTCCAGCAGCAGCAGAATCTGTCGCATGAAAACCAAAGCAGCTCCAATCAAAACTCTCCCAGCGTGAATAATAACACCAACAACAGTGGCAACGGCAACACCAACAATAACAACAACAGCAATAGCAACAGTAACGGTAGCACTAACGCTTGCTTGGACGGAGCCACCAACAACGGAATTAACAACCTATCCCTCAACAACATTAACATGAATAGTAGCGTCAACCCTAACCTAACCATGTCATGCACAACCAGCGCTACCAGTGAGTTAAAGAATAAGCAGCAGATAAGTAAAAACATGAGCGACATGCAGCTGCAAACTCAGTCCATCTCGTCTCTCAAGCAGAATCAAACACAGCAAAGTAAAAGTGGTACAAGTTTGAGTAGCACCCAGCAACAACATACGTCCAATCAACACAGCCAAACTAAACATGCAGGACAACAGCACCAGCAAAACTTACTAAGCAGTAATAATAACAGCTCCATAAACCAATACACGCAAAACCAGATCAACCCAAACAACTCACAAAACACGGCCTCCTCCACCTCTTCCTCCCTCACGAGAAAAGTAGAAACAAACAATCTCAACAGTGGAACACAAAACAACCAAAATAATCAAAACCAATTTTTAAACAAACAACTGTACCATAATAGCAATTATTACAATGTTAACTCAAACAATAATTATAACATCCCCCCCGGCTTTAACATGACCCAGGAGAAGGAACAAAACAATAACTACCTCACTAACAACGTCTCCTCCGCCAATGCCAACAGCAGTGTGGCGGCCTACAGAAACAACTGGAACAATATTAACGAAAAGAATTTAAACCACTACAGCTTGAACTACAATTATAATAGGAACACCAAGAACAACTTTAACTACACCAGCAACTTGTAAGGAAGAGAAAGAGAGAGGCCCATTATAAAGACAAGCAGGAGGCTTTATAAGCCCTCCTGTGGAGGGAGAATGAAAAGGGCTGTTTTTACCGCCCCCAGTGCTTTTATAACCCATTCTTATTTGTCACCCTTCATACACACTTCTATCCTTTTCCTCCCCCTCGTGCGCAGGAACTACAGTAGTAGCAACGGATACAACCAGACGAGAGACAACACGAATAACTTCTTCAACTATAATGGCTTCAACTACGGTCTTCAGACACCACCCGGCCTGCAGAATTACTACCAAAATACGCAGTACCAGCAGCAGAACAGCTACTCCAACCGCAACTACAATTACACGGGGTACAACAACAATCTGTCCATGTGGAGTAAGTAGCAAGAGGTGTTGATGCCTATGTGCGGCGGGTTCTGCCCCCCCTTTTTAACCGCTCCGTAGCTACTCTGCTAAACGCTTTGACATATCGCTTCCCAACCGCTACTATAAAACCACTCCCAATAACACCCTCTTTTTTTTCCCCCCCTTCAGATAGAGAAGAATGATAGCCCACGGTCCAGCGATTCCACACCCCAATTTTACCCCGCTTAATTTTTTTCTTCTTTTTTTACGTGTAATAATGTTTTTATTATAATTAGCCCTTCTTTTTTTTTTACATCCCTTGATTAAACTCAAACTTACAGTTCCCCCATTTTTTTTTTTTTTTTTTTCCTTTTACCCATTAAAACTGTTCCACTTTTTAAAGAGCATTTTTTCTTTCGGCAAAAGAGGGTCTCTGTGCATTAGCGCAGGCCATGCTTGGAGGTTTCCCTTATAAATGTGTAGCTCCCAAATGGCACACATCCTTGGTAAAGTGATCACCCACACCGAGTGTACCACCGCTTTGGCTTGTCTAAGCGGAAAAGTAGCCCCGCAGGTGTCCACGCACGCATAAATAAATGGACATATATATGTACACATGTACACGTTCTGCCCATGGCACAAATTAACACCTTCGCATTGCCCCGCGCGCTGATTCCTCTGTCTGGGCTCTCACGAAAAACTTCAAAGAACAAAAACAATTCTTCTAAAAGCGTTAACATGTACACATATTAACACGCACAAGTGTTAGTAAAAAAAAAAAAATAAGCACTCATTTTTTTTTTTACTCAATCGAAGCTACAAAGGGTCTTGTTTGTGGAGGTACCTATTTTTTAACCCCAACCCATGGCCTACACTTTTTTCATTTATTCGAAGGTTTTCCTAAGTTTTTTTCCCTTGAGAAAAAAACAAAACAAAACAAATATGTAAAAAAACACATAAAAAATAGTCATAAAGGTATATAAAAAATAGGTAAAAAATACACATAAAAAATACGTGTAAAAAGGCACATGGGAAAATACGTAAAAAAGCACTCAAAGCACAATTTATTCTTAGGTGTAAAATTATTTTTTTTTTAAAAGGCACTCAAAATGAGGGAGGGAAAAAAGAAAAAATAACTGACATTCTTGCGGACGAAAAAAAAAAAAAAAACAAGAAACAAAAAAAAAAATAAATAAATAAATAAACCACTTTAAGGGACAAGAAAAATTGTTTAGGAAGAAAAAATCGATTCAATGGATAATCAGTTTTTAAAAGGTTCCCCCAAGCGGTCAGTATAAGAAAAAAAAACACAAACACACAAATTTAGAGCGCGCAAAAGGGAAGCCTACGATATTCTCACAGTAAACCCCAAGATAATTACACAATTTCCATTATGACCAAAATTGTACATGACAAAATTGACACGAATATATTAAAAGAGAGGAAACTAAAACATGGCGCAGTAAAAGATGGAGGAAGCTACTGTAAGAGTCAGGGGGAATTCAAGGTGCCTACTAAGGGCCAAGACTTTTACAACATTATTTTTTTACTACTGCTATATACTATACAAGGTAATCATGCATTATGTGCTTCCCCCAGGGAAAAGGGACTACCTAAGTGTTGCACCACCTCGCCTGTATATAGTGTACACAATTGTGAGGGGGGAAAATTCAGAAAGACCGGAAAAATTGGGAAAACGGGAAAAAGGAAAAAATTGAGAAAAGTGCTCCGTCACCCCTATGATTAATCTGGAGTGTTTTACACTACGTGGTTGCCTCACAACACATGTGTATTTCTACACACACCTATATTCCCCCCTTCCTTCCCCCTTTTAAGGCGTCCCAATCGGTGTCTCGTCCGTGGTCCCACTAATAATTCAAGACAAAGTGAGCTACTCCCAGTTGAGCATTTTGTCCCTAGTCAGCATACCCTTCAGGTTAGCACACAAAATGTTTAATTTTACACCTGGGTATGCCTCCCAAATTGTGTGCTCGTGTGTGTGTGTGCGGGTGGTTCTGCTTCGATGCTTCCCTTCCGATACTTATTCTACATTTCTGTTGTTCATTTTTCCGACTCACTTTTTTAATTCCCCTGTCAGCCTAAAACTGCTGTGGGCCCCGCTTGTCGATTCTGTGTACCATAAAAAAATCGGGAGGAGGAAAAGTTGGATAATCCCGCTTCAGGTATTTCAACGTGGAGAGAACAGCATACGCAGGGATGACCATACGGAGCGAGGACCGTGTGCCGCTCAACGAACGAAACATACATCGAACAAGTAAAGGATATACCAAACAACGAAGCACAATTTCCATCATTTTTTTTTTAATTCCCTCCATTTATCGCAGCTAATTTGTAGCTTTTCCATGATTTGCTGTGGGAGGCATGTGAGCGCTTGGCTAGGGGAAAGGGGCAACATCGCGAATCTGTACCTCCTGACGTCCTTCTTCTTCGGGCTCTTCTTTTTGATGGCTACCCAAGATATAGCAGTCGATGGCTGGGCGCTCACCATGTTATCCGAGGAGAACAAGGGGTAAACGCAAAACACACAGAGGGAAGGAGCATCAGCGGCAAAGAGGCACATAACGAGTGGAACAAAAAAGGAAGGTGTAATATGTAATGACTCCTTATCCTTCCACTTTCTGCGTAAAGCACAAAGACTGATGAAAAATGCGAGAAAGACACATGCCTCATGAGTGACCATGTTATGTAGAGAGAAAGCCTAGTCGCTTTTCATTTTTTTTTTTCCCCCCCACCCCGCAGACTAGCCTCCACCTGCAACATCCTCGGACAGAACATAGGCTACTGTGTATCTCAGTTGTCTTTCCTGACGTTAAACAACAAGAACATTTGCTTCTACATTTTTAGGAAGTATATACAATGCATGCACTCCATGTTTCACGAGTCCAGTCACTACAGACATTTGCACGAAAGCATGGACATGATATACCCATCCTTTCAACCCTTCGTCGATATGAATATCTTTTTAAAATTCTGGGGTGTATTTATTCTCGCGCTTACTATATTGACTTGTTTTAAAAAAGAAATGATGGACGATAATGGCAAAGAGAAAAATGATATCGTGGTGGAAGAATATAGTGTCCCCCGCAAAAAGGGAAACCACCACCCCATTGAAGACTTCCAACACAACGAAAGCTTAAACGAATTTGCAAACTCAAAGGATACATATAAAAACTTGTACCAACTGATCTTCCTACCACCGATGAAAATTTTCATTTTTATATTCCTCCTAATTCGCTTTCCCTTTGCCTCGGTGGAGGTGGGCACCAACTTCAAAATGTTGAAGAAGGGAATCAGCAAAGAAGAGTTCGCCATTTTTAATCCATTTTTTATTCCTATATCAATCATATCATCAGCCATAATAGGAAAAATCACCAAAAATATAAAACCCCTTAATATATATTATTACGGTTACTTACTAAGATACCTTTCTAACATTATTTTGTCCACGCTGTTACCCTTGACAGAGTATATATATTCGAACAAGACCGAGCTTCCGCAGTTTTACTTGTATTCGTACTACCTATACATTTTCATGGCGCAGGTCTTTAACCACTTCTGTATCGACCTCATGACTGTGTCATCGGTAAGGGGCCTTCCACGAGAGGGCTGTCTAAATTGTCTTGTTCTGTGGAGGGAGAAAGTCCCCCCGGGGGATACCCTTTTCGTGAGGAATTCATTCAAGCGGAACATGTCTTCGCGCACATCACTGCTCACATCACCGAATACTCACTTTACCCCGTTTTATCGACCCCACACCTGTACCCCCCTCCCCCCAACAGATGAGCTTCCAGAATATAATTTCAGACCCCGAAATTGGTGGAACATACATGACCTTTCTAAACACCGTTAACAATATGGGATCACACGTAAACTACAAAAATAATATAACGCATGAGTGGAGAGTCAACCAGGGTCACTGTAACGGCAGAGGATAAAAAAAAAAAAAAAAAAAAAAAAAAAACATCAAACCGATAATCGGTTCCTCTAAAGAACGATTCAGAGGGATCATTTTTCATGTCCACAACCACTCCACCTCTATTTTATTTTATTTTTTTTTTTTTTTTTCTTCACTCCCCTTTTTAGTGGTCAACCATATTTCTGTGGCTATTGGATTATACCGACAGAACAGTGTGCTACGGAGGTACCTTTTCAAAAAAAAAATGTTCATGTCCCTTTACTCTGTGCATAGTCTGGGCTGCAGTACTCTTTGCGAAGTGCCCCCTCCAATTTGCTACACACACACATACACGCAGTAGACATGGAATTACTTACCCCAATTTTTGCCTCCTTTTTTCTATCAGGCAAGTGCCTACTGATTGATGGCTACTACACGCAAATGATCTTTTCTTTCATCATCGGGATACTCATAAACAAGTACATCACAAAGTGCATCACGAAGCTCCAGGTGGGTTTAACCAACAACTGATGAGGGGCAGACGCACACTGCGCAAGAAGAAGCGCTCATTTTGCGTTTCCAATTTTTTTCCCCCCCCTTTTAGGCCTTTCCCATAGAAGACTGGAGGACGAATAGCGGAAGCAGCGAAAAAAAAATGAAATGAACAACCCAAAAGAACAAAGGACAGTGTCCCAATTTTTGGCTGGTATCCGTTTCTCATGGCCACCTGTCATTTTTTTTTTAATTCAAATTCCATTTAGCATGTTTGAAAGCAATCGCTTTGGCAGATGAGGACAAGGGGGAAAAATGCACGGGCAAAGGATAAAGAAGAAGGGAAAGGAGAAGGTCGTTGGGCCGACCTTGACGTTGGCCCCAGCAATTGCAGTACACAGCGGCAAGGGAAGAACACTCCTACGCAGGTCCTCAGCACATTACACATATACCTGCGAAAGCGTTCATGGGTTAGTCTACGTGTGTGGCCTGTCCAAAGAAGCATTTTCCGAACCGCAACTCCCTCACATACGTAATAGCAGGATGTACAGTGATATGTCGTACCATATACTGTGCCATGTCATGTAAGCATCAGTGCCATTTGGACGAAAGAAAAATGAAGCACAATACAGGGAAGAAATTTTATTAATCCTAACAAGTCATGACACGCTTAAATTCATTCATACGTTCCTGATGTTGCAGAATTAATAAAGTCGTTGCGTAAATTCTCACCGCCAGGAAGAAATATATATTTTGTGTTCCTCCGTAGGTGCTTACACGAAATGTAACCCCTTATTGCCTAAGCGGAATTAATTTTTTTTTTTTTTTTTTTCGCCATTTTGAAAGGTCATCCGTAATACATAATATGAAAGTAAAATTTGTTGCGAGAAAAAAAAAAAAAAAATTCGTGTATATGTTTATTCGGTGATTTAAATGTAGACCCTCCATCCCCTCATTGCCTTTTGTTTTGGATGATTCATTTTCGTCAAGCTGCATTTGCACACTTGCCCAGTTACGCTTAACCAGCCTCGGTTAACACACCCCATATTTTGTGCCCCTCCCTACTCTGCCCTAACTTTTTTTTTTGTCCCATTTTTTTAAGTCACACATTATCTCCCCGGGCTCATTTCGCCCCATGTTTTTTTTTTTTTAACCCTCATTCAAGTTATTCTTATTGTATGTGTATATATATACCATGCGCACACATATGTGCTGCTTCCACGCATATGTACGAAGGGGTCTATCTACCACCATCAGCCCTTCACATGGCATGTTCCCTCGCGTAACAACCTAACCCTTCCTCCCTTTTATATGTATATATATATATGTATATATGTGCATGTTTAAATTAACGGATACATAATTAAGCAACTTAAAACAGTTTTCCCCATAGTGCCAATTTTTTCTTTTTTTTTTTTTTTCCAATCGTATAACATAAAGCATGTAATTTGTGAAAAAAAAAAAAAAATCAACTGTGGGGACACATTTTACATTTCAGTTTTGTTATTACCAAAACGAATAGCAATTCCAAATAAACCCCTTGAAACATGCTTCCGAAAAATAAGCTGTCTGATATATGCACGGCCATTACGCTGGTAAAAACTCTCGCCTACATATTGTACTTTAGCTCAAAATGACAAATGTGCGCGTGTGTATGTGCATACATATGTTCACAAGTGCGCATGTAGGTATGGGTACTTCTGCACTCTGTGACTGCACACCCCCCCCTCTGTAATTTCACCTAATGGAAAAGCCTCCCATAATACTGATCTGTGCTTCTTTTTTTTTTTTTTTTTTTTTGTTCCTTCCCCACGTGGAACCTCCAATGTTATAGGAAAAGGCCAAGGAAAACTTAACGAATGAGTACAAATTGGGGAATGAAAAAAATCGAAACAAAGAACAACGTACACAGTTGGTGGATGCAGAAAAGGGAGAAGAACAATTTCCCCAAGGTAGGCACAACACAGTGGACAGTCTGCATAATGCTACTTAGTAATAGCGCTTTAATGAGTCAACCCAATTACGTATGCATGACTGTACACTTCCATCCATACATGTGCATTCAAAAGTACGTACGCCTTGCTTCGTGCAAGAGAACAGGTATGGGTACTTCTGCACTCTGTGACTGCACACCCCCCCCTCTGTAATTTCACCTAATGGAAAAGCCTCCCATAATACTGATCTGTGCTTCTTTTTTTTTTTTTTTTTTTTTTGTTCCTTCCCCACGTGGAACCTCCAATGTTATAGGAAAAGGCCAAGGAAAACTTAACGAATGAGTACAAATTGGGGAATGAAAAAAATCGAAACAAAGAACAACGTACACAGTTGGTGGATGCAGAAAAGGGAGAAGAACAATTTCCCCAAGGTAGGCACAACACAGTGGACAGTCTGCATAATGCTACTTAGTAATAGCGCTTTAATGAGTCAACCCAATTACGTATGCATGACTGTACACTTCCATCCATACATGTGCATTCAAAAGTACGTACGCCTTGCTTCGTGCAAGAGAACAAGTTGTCAACTTAGCAAACGTGTAAAAATTGAAAACAAAAAAAAAAAAAAATTTCAACGTGAAACTTTTTAGTAGACGAAAACAGTGACGAGGAGGAAATCCGAAAATGGAGGGAGAAGAGACTTACGCAACTTAAAGTACGTTGAAACAGTTTTGCAAAAATGGGGCCATTTTGTGGCGCACATGCCGTGTCTGCACCGTAACCAGAGAACCGATTGACGCTCCCCACAGCATGATTCCCCCTCTGTTCTTTACTTTTCTTGCTAGAAAAAACAGGAGTTGAAGAAAGACGGCGTTTACCTCGAAATATGTGAAAAGGACTTCATACCCACCGTCCTGAAAAACAGCAATGTGGTAAAATGTGTGAATGGAGCATGTATATATATGTATATGTATATATACAAACGGATGCTTCATTATCTCCATTTTAACAAACCTATACACTCATATATTCACATGTTGCATTCTTCGGTCCCCCTCCCCTCCGCACAAGGTTTGCCACTTTTACGACAACTCCTTCAAACGATGCGACATTTTACACACCCATTTGATCAAGCTGGCCAACATACACCTTGCCACGAAATTTATCAAGTAACCAAACGGAAGCAGCGGAAAAGCGGCACAGCAAAAAACGCAGTAGAATTCGCCTGACCATAAAAACGGTACTAAGCGTACTTTACAAATTTGTCGCTCCTTGGCACCCTCCACCCCCTTTCCATCCCTTTACAGAGTGGAAGCCAAAAATTGCCTATTCTTTATGAACAAGTTAAATATAAAAATTTTGCCAAGCTTATGTTTGTTTATCAACGGAGTTCTCTTAAAAACCTGCGTTGGGTTTGAAGACTTTGGAAGTAATAACGAAAAAAGGGGGGGAAAACAAAATTCCGCAATTTATCGTCCCTTAACAAATGCACACAACACACAATGCACATACTTGCTAAAATTAATTTTCATTTGTAGATAAGGACACCTTCAAGACGAAGGACCTGGAGGAGTATTTGTTCAAGAAGAAGCTCATCAGCAATATGGTAACAGGACGGAATACAACAAAAAAAAAAAAAAAAAATTTACGCATGTGCACATATACACGTGTGGGCTATTTTTTTTTCTTCACACGTGTACACTGACACGCATGTGGGGTGTGCCAAACGAACCCTTTCCCCTTCAATAGGAATACAGCGACAGCGAAGAAGGAGAAGAAGGAGAAGCTTAAAATGGTTACTAAAGTCTCAGGGAGATGGGTTGCCAAGGCAACCACGACAGTGCCCCCACACACCACCACCGTTGCGCAAACAAGTCGCGCTAAGATAGGACCCACAAATGCAAGCCCCTGTTCTTTCTGTCTGTTTCCCCTATCCCCACATGAAGATCTACTTCTTTTTTAACTTTTTCCTTTGCGCATTAATTTGCTTCTGTCGACTAATCGCCTTACTTTCACTTATATAAAACAGCATGGGTTTCTTTTTTTTAATCAAATAAAAAGGAAACCGCAAATAAAGAAGAATCTTGTACACATGTAGCAACTTCTGCCTGTAGTTGCTCAAACCTTTCACTATATCATTTTCGTACTTTAGACCAAACTGAATTTCTTTATGATCAAACAGTTCACCACTTTGGATACTCTCGTCGTATAATTCCTCTGGTAAATTTTCTATTGCCTTGAATATTTTTTCTTTCATTTTTAGTAAATGCCTTTCGTACTTTGCTTCCTCCGTCTGTGAAAAAAATTTCAAAGTGCATGCAGTTTGTTTTTTTTTTTTTTTTTTTGTAGTGTAAGGACGCTACTGGTATGTATACACCAAAGCATGTACTCCTCATATGCATATGTGTAACCACTGCGAGTGTTTTTTTTTTCCTTTCCCACTCGCATGTCCCTTTTTTCTCTATCAAAACACTCTTAAGGAAAAAAATAAAATAAAATCATTCAAAAGAATAAACCAATCAACATGGCGGTGTGCAGAGGTGGCGGCGTGAACGCTCTGCAGATGGAACGGGACAAACACATGGCATGTTTAATGCTTCTCCTCTTACTCCTCCCCATACCTGCTTCAAAAATTGATACAACTCGAACCTCTTTTGGTACTCGACTCTGTCTTCATATGAGTCCGTCGAATTTTGGGGGCCAAAAATTAGAGACAGCAGATTGTCCACCTTGTTTTTGTCCTTGAAAAAGGAGACCGTGTCCGCAACGTAGGCGGGCGGGATGTACGGCAGGTACCTCGTTTCGGATAGTTTGTCTTTGTCTTCGGCTCTAAAGGTAGGAAACAACACGGCGCCGAAGCGGTGACGAAGTGGTTAATCGATGACGTGTTGCAGTGTACCGTGGCGGCAATCATGACGCTCCAGTTAACCCCACACCCATCCATATGAGCTTTTATCAATCTACACAAAAAATTAACCCACACACTTTTCTCCCTCGTCCTATACACAAAATGTGCACCACACACAATCCTGAACCAAATGGCGCCACTTACGAGTCCTTCTTCTTCTCCTGTACGTTCTTCTTCTTCGCTGGGGCCCTCATGGGCACAAAAGACAAGCAGCAAGAATTTCTGTTCCATCGGTGAATTCTCGACAGCATCTTTTCCAAGTAGCCTCAGTCGTTCCCGTCCTGATAATTTTTTTTCTTTTTTACACATATGTAGAACATGTAAGAAGCCATGCTAACATAAGGCAGAGGCGCATACAGATCATGTGACTGTTCCTCTCAAAGTGAGAGAAAAAAAAAAAAATTAATTCCACGTTATCATAGCGCGAAGGAAATAACCCAACAGCTAGCTAACAAAGAGAACAAACAAAAAAAAAAAAAAAAAAAAAAAAAAAAA